GTCTAGAAGTAAACACAGAGAAAACTAAGTATATGTTACTGTCTCGTCACCAAAATGCAGGGCAGAATCATGACATGAAGATAGGAAACAGATGTTTTGCAAATGTGGTACAGTTCAGAAATTTGGGAACAACGATAACAGATCGAAACCTGATTCAGGAGGAAATTAAGAGGAGACTGAACTCGGGTAGCGCTTGCTACCATTCAGTCCAGAACCTTTTGTCTTCTCATCTGTTGTCCAAAAACATAAAAATTAGAATATACAAAACTATAATTTTGCCTGTGGTTCTGTACAAGTGTGAAACTTGGTCTCTGACATTAAGTGAGGAACATAGACTGAGGGTGTTTGAGAACAGGGTGTTGAGGAGAATATTTGGACCGAAGAGGGATGAAGTGACAGGAGGTTGGAGAAAACTGCATAATGAGGAGCTTCATAACTTGTACTCTTCTCCAAATATAATTAGAATTATGAAGTCAAGAAGGATGAGGTGGGCAGGTCATGTAGCACGAATGGGGGAGACGAGGAATGCGTGTAGGATATTGGTGGGAAAGCCAGAAGGATAGAGACCACAGGGAAGACCTTGGCGTAGGTGGGTGGAAAATATTAGACTGGATCTTAGAGAGATGGGATGGGATGGTATGCATTGAATAGATCTGACTCCGGATAGGGACCGCTGGAGGGCTCTTGTGAACACGGTAATGAACCTTCGGGTTCCATAAAATGCTGAGAAATTCTTGAGTAGCTGCAGAATTGGCGGCTCCTCAAGAAGGGCTCAGTTCCATGAGTAAGTATGTAAGTAAGTATGTAACTTGTTTGAAGAAATAGGAAAGTACTGACTCGAGGTGAATTTAGTCATGTAACCCTCTCAGCACACCAAGTCATGGGCTGAAATTCACTCTGTTGTTGAACTTTGTATGTGTGTGTGTACATATATTGTCACGCTTATGAGTGACACTCGACGGGATTTTGGATTGGATATTATATTTATTGACCACTTATACACTGACGAATCGACACTGCACTTTACAGACCAATATCACACACAGACTAGTGTCCTCAGTCTTTTATAGTCTCCACTATCTGTTTCCTGGCAACGGATTTTGACACAGGAACTATAATAGTCTCACTGAATTACACACTCCAAATATCATACGTAAAGTCTTCTCTTTACAGGCGCACTTTCAACTGAGCACTCTTGCAACTGACTGGTTTCCCCAAATTGACCAGATTATAACACCTCGGCACGAACCGCACAGAAAACACCGTACTTCTGCTGCCGTTCAACTGTCGCTTATCAATAATATTCTGCCTAGTAACGGACGTTGTTCCGTTGTTTGTTTCGCGGCCGTTGCCTAGAAACGAATGTTTAAGAGCCGTTCACTAACAAGGCTGTTTCTCCGGTTCCGCAGTTCTTGCCTTGAGCAAATATGCCACAATATATATCTAATGTAACAGCAGACGGATCATAACTCATTGATAACGTTACGCAATTGAAGGACGTTGTTACTCTCAGTGGCTGACGGATGGAGTTAATCGTCAGTCGAACTTTATATGGACGCTTCACATCTACGATGAATAAACGGGGTGGGAATGGATTATGGAGAAAGGATGAAGGAGACAGACAACATTTATAAGAGGCTACCCATCATATTTTCAACGGCCCTTTTTCACTGGAAAGCTTGTACCTAAATAGAACACTTAAAATACATGATTTGTAGGACTTGAAGCCTGTGCAAGATGAAACACGCTTTGTGAGTTATACCTGGAGCACTTCGTCTTCTCGGCTATCACAGTATTTCGACCTCCATTAAAGACAGTGGATTTCTTGAGCAGATGAGTTATTCCTTACTTTCTATAGCTGTTTCTTTTGCGCTTTCTTTTATTTCCTCTGTCGCTTTCTCTCCCCCTTCTCTGCACTTCTTCCAGTGAAACCTTCTCTCTTGTTTATTTCTTCATTATCGTGTTTACCTTCGTTCCTAGTTTCTTTTATTTTTCTTCTTTTTCATCATTTCTTTGTTTCACAAATTAATATAGACACTAATTAATTAAACTCATATAAAGTAGCACTACCCAATTTATAAACCCTTCCTACTTCGCTTTCCTTTCCCAATGCATCGTTTCCAGTGCACTTTCTTTTGAATTTAATTCCATTAAAATTACCTTCTTCTATTTCAAGTACTTATTTGTTACTTGCTCTTTATTTATGTTACCTGCTCTTTTCTTTCCTATTCTGTTGCAGGTTTCTTTGATTTATACCCTTTCTTCTTTGATTTTTACATTTGCCTGTGTTTGTACCTTAGTCTCTTTCCTTCCTCATATCTCGTTTACTTACTTATTTGTCTGTTTTTACCGTTTTTACTACCCTGAGAAGTCATTTAACTTATTTATTTACTTTGTGTTATTAATTGCTTTGTTCTCTTCGTCACATCTCTCATTTTTTCCATTCCTTTGTTATATTCTTCCTTCCCCTCTTTCCATGCATTTATCAAAGCATTCTATAATATTTTTATTTATTCCTCGACACATTTATTAGTTTATTACTAATGTATTTATTCATTAAATTATACATACATGTATTACATATTTACAACTTGTTGGTCGCTTTAACTGCAGATGCCGCATCGACTGTCACTTTCTAACACTGCAGCAATCTGCTCAGGCACGATGTAAGCTAGAGTCGTAAG